GGGGGCCCAGCTGGACCAGCCCCCCAGGAACCAGCTGAGAGACCCGGAGGAGACCACAGACGATGAGCTGGGGACCAGCATTGTAAGCGATGGGGATGGGGCACGGCCCTGCCAGACCCTCTCCCAGCCCCCCAGTCCCAGCCCTAGGGTCACCCTGCTCTCCCCTCTGCAGGACACCATGGCCATCAAGAGGCAGAAGCACGGCAGGAGCTGGACCAGCCCCCCAGGAACCAGCTGAGAGACCCGGAGGAGACCACAGACGATGAGCTGGGGACCAGCATTGTAAGCGATGGGGATGGGGCACGGCCCTGCCAGACCCTCTCCCAGCCCCCCAGTCCCAGCCCTAGGGTCACCCTGCTCTCCCCTCTGCAGGACACCATGGCCATCAAGAGGCAGAAGCACGGCAGGAAAATCCGGCCCGTCTCCGCCTTTATCGGTGAGCGATGGACACGGATCAGACCTCTCCTGTCTCCATCCACCCAGCCAGCTGCCTGCCCACCGGTCTGTCCGTCTGTCCCTCCATCTGTCCATCCGCACGTCCATCCGCCCATCACTCCATCCATCCGTCTGTCCACCCACACGTCCATCCGCCCATCACTCCATCCATCTGTCTATCCATCCACACGTCCATCCACCCATCACTCCGTCCATCCATCCGTCTGTCCACCCACACGTCCATCCGCCCATCACTCCATCCATCTGTCTATCCATCCACACGTCCATCCGCCCATCACTCCATCCATCTGTCTATCCATCCACACGTCCATCCGCCCATCACTCCATCCATCTGTCTATCCATCCACACGTCCATCCGCCCATCACTCCATCCATCTGTCTATCCATCCACACGTCCATCCGCCCATCACTCCATCCATCTGTCTATCCATCCACACGTCCATCCGCCCATCACTCCATCCATCTGTCTATCCATCCACACGTCCATCCGCCCATCACTCCATCCATCTGTCTATCCATCCACACGTCCATCCGCCCATCTCTCCATCCATCCGTCTGTCCATCCACATGTCCATCCGCCCATCACTCCATCCATCCGTCTGTCCACCCACACGTCCATCCGCCCATCACTCCATCCGTCCGTCTGCCCACCCACACGTCCATCCGCCCATCACTCCGTCCATCCGTCTGTCCACCCACACGTCCATCCGCCCATCACTCCGTCCATCCGTCTGTGTCCAGCCACAGGGCCATCTGCCCACCACTCCATCCATCTGTCCATCCGTCTGCTCATCCGCCCATCAATCCATCCGTCCATCTGTCTGTCCATCCACCCATGACTCCATCCATTCAGCCATCCATCCGTGCACCAGCCATCCATCTGTCCACTTGTCCATCCATCCGTCTATCCATCTGTCCAAACATACATTCAACCTGCCCACCACTCCATCCATCCAACTGTCCACAATCCATCTGTCCACCCACTGCTTCATCCATCTGTCTGTCCAACCACCTAGCCAGCTCCATACATACCTTCAATCTACCTTTCAATCCACCTTTCCTTCCATCCGCCCACCCACCCTGTCCACTTGTCCATCCATCCGTCTATCCATCTGTCCAAACATACATTCAACCTGCCCACCACTCCATCCATCCAACTGTCCACAATCCATCTGTCCACCCACTGCTTCATCCATCTGTCTGTCCAACCACCTAGCCAGCTCCATACATACCTTCAATCTACCTTTCAATCCACCTTTCCTTCCATCCGCCCACCCACCCATCCCTC